GATTTCTAGATAGCCATACTTTGGTCTGTTTAGTAAGAGAAATTATTGCCTCTCCAATAGTCACACTTTCTAGAATATCAACTTCAAGAAGATATCATAGAAGTACAATAGGTGCCCATCCTTTTTCTTTCCCATATCCTTCTCTACTTTGACACGCAAAATGTTTTCCGTACTAGACGAGAATCGCTGAATGTATATTTGATGCAAATTTAAAAGATCTTACCTGCGCAAATTCAGTGATATCATCCTCTGGCAATTCTCCATTTACCACAACTCGAACAAGGTAGTGTGATAGATGTCTGAACCTATTGAACCATGGTGTATATTCTTCTTGACCTCGCATACTTGCTGGATAACATTCTTTTATATCGATACATACGACATCATTGACGTGATAATCGGGTGCATTCTAGCGTCCACCATGCCCATGCTCGACACATGCTTGCCTTATATTTTCATTTACTTTTCCAGATATTGGATGCTATTTATTGATTTCATTAGCGAGTCGGCTTCCAGCATGGTTTGCACCAAATACCTGCTCTGCTAAATCAACAACTTTTAGAAACTCTGAAAGAATCGATTTCTTTTCTTATTGATTATTCCTTCCTGATATTGCCAATCTATTGTATCATTGACCAGTTGTTTGCATGCTTCTATAATTTCTGTATACTTTTTCCATGTTCTAAATGTGCGACCATCTTCTAGAACAAACTGGGATATTGTTTGACTCATATCCCCCACTCCCATAAGCCAAATTGCTTGAGATCTCCTGAGGGCATTATTGATAGCTTCCTATATATCACCCTTATAATATTCGACTATTCGATCTCTTGGGAAGTACTAGTTTCTTGGAAATGCATAGCCATTATGAACTACCATTCCAATTTCTTCATACTTACCTGATCGATACTTTCTACTATTAAATATAGTACCATGAGTTATATCAAGTAATTTAATCGGTCGTTTAAGAATTTTTTCTAACTCTGCTACATCTTGTACTCGAGCACCTGGAATATGTATTTTTTTCTCCCAATCATTTATTTTTTGACGACGAATTTCTGTGAGTCCATACCCTCGCTTAGTGTTATCAAAATGCTCTATTACTCGTTGAGCTACACAGTTAAATACTTCATCTTTCATAGGTATTAATCGATTGATATCTGGCTTTCAGATTCGATATAATCCATAGACTACTGCATTACTATCAAGTCTTTCTACATCGGATTGTATACTGACTTCTCTAACCAGAAATTTTTTGTCTATTCCTAGCCAAAAGCCCGGTTTCATTTTCTTTGTAAGTATAACATTTGGACCACCTCGGACATATTTACCACCTGCTTTTTTTAATTCACGAATAGGCTCATATTTGTCAATAATTTTAAAGCCTTTTTTTGTTTTCTCAACTGATATTACTGTATCGTCTCGAATGAATTTTACTTTTATTAAATACTCATAATTATCAATTGTATTTAATATTCTTTGTGCTCGCTCTTTAGTTATTCCAGCTTCGATTTTTTTTGATTCTATTTGAACTTTTACATATCTCAACCAGTTTTTATATCCTTTATTTACTGCCAATTTTATAGTTTCATTGATTTCTTTTTCTGAATAATTACAATATAGGCATTGTAAAAATAGCCTCTGTATAGCTTCATCTTTATTTTTGAATGCTCTATAAGCATCTACTGCCAATTTTATGATTTCATTGATTTCTTCTTCTTCTGAATAATTCTGATATAGGCATTGTAAATATACCTCTGCATAGCTTCATCTTCATTTTCTGCTCCTAATATTATACTGGCCAAATCTATCTCTTTAGCTTCTGTAAACCAGGTTGAGAAAGCATATTCGGCTCTATCTACTTTAAACATATTTTTTGCGGTCTGAATTCTATTTTGCCATATTACATGATGCTCTTCATTATATGAAAATCGAACTGGCTATGGTACTTCTACATCTAAATCTAGAAATCCTTCTTCGTGAATAGGCAATTCTTGAACAGGTTGCAATTCTATATTA